TTCTTACCATAAAAACTTTTCTGTGTAAAAGTATTGCACATCAGGAATGAATGATAGCTTCAATTATACAAGTTTATTTTTTTATATTTGTAAATGCAAAAAAAAAAAATTACAAACCATCATTCTTTCTTCAACAGTGGGCTCTGTCAAAATCTATCGATCAGTGCCAACCTTAGAGGAGCAAGAAAAGAGCAGGCCAGAGCTTGAACCTGGAGGTCGTTTTCGGCCAGCTGAGTGCCGTGCACGCCATCGAGTTGCCATTATCATTCCATACAGAGACAGAGTCCAGCACTTAGCCATGTTCATATACCACATACATCCCATATTACAGCGACAGCAGATCGACTATGCGATCTATGTGGTTGAGCAAGCAGGTAATGATTAATGCCTTTGAGGGTGATGCATATAAGCACTTTCTGTTGTTTTTTCTTAAAATAGTACAGATAGTTTATGAAGATATGATTTTACAAGTGTGATATTTATGCATGATATTCAACTGATGATAAAGAAATAATAGTTGTAGCATGTAAATTACTTACTCTTGTTAATAGAACCATTTATAAGAAGTAAACTTTTTTTTTTGTGTGAAAAATTGTTTAAAAGGATATGGTAGTTAACCAGACCTTTTCTTTTGTTCTGTTAAGTATCATTACTTTCCTGGCAGTGATGTAAAATTAAAATTTTCACAAGTTTACAAAGTGATTTATACTGTAACTTGATCCTCTATCATGTAAGTCTCTCTGTATATTCTGTAAGACTGACATTTCTTAATTTTTTTTAGGGAGTGGCAAGTTTAACAGAGCAATGCTGATGAACGTTGGTGCTCTCGAGGCCCTGAAACAATATCCGTATGACTGTTTTATATTCCATGATGTTGATTTGCTGCCAGAGGATGACCGTAACTTATACACTTGCCCAGAACAGCCAAGGCATATGTCCATAGCTATTGACAGTATGGGATATAAGTAAGTTTATGGGAAGGTTTGTTGTTGTTAATTTTATTTAGTGTATTAACTACATGTCGCTGGGAAAATGTAGTGTTCACTGTAGTATTGTTTTGTGAAATGTCTCTGCACGTCTGATTTCACTTTTCCTTGAGTTTGAGGGGAAAATATTTTATTTTTTCTACTAATGCTCTCAATATTGATACTGTTATTATTATTGTAGACATTATAATTATTACAATTTTATTGACATAATTAATAGTAATACAAGATACCCAAAAATATTTCTAGAAATCTAGGAAAAGGGCAAACAGGTGAGAAGGTAGTACTCATAATGGGCTTACAAGTGACTTAGTACTTGTGCTGCTATCCATATGTAAAGAAAATTTTCCCATTGCTGCCGGGGAAAATGAACAAAAAATGGGGAAAATGCTGTGCCTATTTTCTCTATTTTTTTGTTAAATGTCTGCCCATAGATGGCTCTGTTAGCGCCTGATTTGAAATGGCGGGAAAAACGTATTTTTCACTAGTACCATGAATATCAACGGTGTTATTTTTATTATAAACATTATAATTATTATATTTTTTTTAACATTAGTAACAGCAAAATAAGATAACGTAAAATATTTTGTAAATCAGGTGAATGGGCGAGAGAGGCGGTAGTCGTAGCTGGTTCATTGGTGATTTAGTACAAGTGTAGCCATCTATGTGTGAAAACAATCTAACAAGTAATCTCACAGTGGGCATGGCATGGCATGCCTGTCAGGAATGGGTTAATGAAATAAACTCACAGCGGGATATGGCGATGCACATTCCATCCCTAGTGGCAGTGGGTTAATTTTTAGACTAAATAAAAGGTATATATATTTATAGTTTATATGAATATAGGCAATTGATGGTATTGATCTCATTTATATTTTTTAAAGGGTGAAGTACATGGTTATGTTTGAGAAGTGAAGTATTTTAACAATAACTTGGGTTCTACAGAAGAGGAACTGAAGATTTCTATTGGAGATTTAAACTTTTTTATTTTTAGAGAGAAAGTAATACAATAATATTATAAACTTCCTAAGGGGAAAGACTTCATTTGTTTACATCAAATGTGAGGGCACTGCATCTGAATATAAATTAATGCATTTACCCCACTTTTGACAGACTGCCATACAACGACATCTTTGGAGGAGTGAGTGCCATGACAGCTGACCAGTTTCGAACTGTCAATGGCTTCAGCAACAAGTTTTGGGGTTGGGGTGGTGAGGACGATGACATGTCTAACAGAATCAAATTCCATGGCTTTTTCATCTCACGGTACCCAGCAAATATTGGACGCTACACCATGCTCTCCCACAAGAAGGATGAACCAAACCCAAGACGGTAAGTGCTGTAGTGATTGTAGATAATTGTGGTTTTGAAAAGTGGTGAAGGAGGTGCAATACTTGGGTGCTATGTGTACACTTCATTTGGTTCTTCCTTTTTCTTTTAGGCATGTATATGTTTGTGAAGGTTGCCTGCACATTAGTGCTTAGCCTTTTTTTCCCAAAAGTCATGTTAATCAG